GCGTGAGTATAAGACACATCAAACAACTGATCTTGCTCGCTATCCGGGGAAGCATATTCAGCTGCCATTTTCGGGAATTTCTTGAACATTTCTGACAGATGTGTAGGGATGTGGCTACCATACATTCTATGGTTTGACGCTAGCTTCTGCACATTTGCTAGAAGCATGGGCGGAGGTTTACTCAATGCTCCGGTCCGTTCGAATTCTCCGTTAGTGTTCATCTTCCCTCTGTCGAACTGCACAACCCCTCCAAATGTTGCCGTTGGCTTGCTAACCACGATGTCTCCCAGTCGAATGTCGTCCTCGTCATCGCCGGGTATACCACCCCCGATGCCTACTAACAAGCCAAACCTGATCGATGGAAAGTCGTTTAGCAACTGTGTTGCGACTGTTGCCGCCTTGTTATTGCCGATCTGTGGCATAACCGCGATAACAATGTTATGCTCTCCTATACATCCGAGTGTATAACTGTTCTGGTCACGAATTGTCGGCAGGCTCTGGTGCTGCTCATCTAGCTTCCGCCCGACTTGAAAGGGACGGTGAACGTAGGAGGACACTCTTGAGAAGGGCTCGCTATGGGCAGGGAAGAACCGCTGTAGATACAGGTCCAAGGACAATTTACGAATCACCTACAGATACAATACCAGCCCTCTCTTTGCCTCTACGCCTGGAACGCGATTCTACAGCATACAAGACAGAAATGCCGGCTCACTTTGCACGAAAGTAGCAGCATTAGCATCGGATAGTATATTACACGAGGCGGTATGTTCGATCAAGACAGACAAGAAGCCAACCGTGTGTTTCTTATGCGTTGGGAATCCGAATCTAACAATGCATGAGAGGGTTGTGTCATATGCAAACCCTGGTTCTTTAAGTAGGCACTTTCTGAGGAAGCACGTCAAGAAGCTAGAAAAGGGTAATCATGTTGAATGTCGGGTTTGCAATATCAGCCTCAAAGATCGAATTGCCTTACTCATTCTTGCTGAGAAGTCACACTGAACTATCTCACGAGGTCCAGCTGAGAGATTGATCAGGTCTGTCGCATAACCTGTAACTATATGTGTTAGCGCATCGGATACAGCCTGGAATGGCCATGGTGCTTAGAAAGGACATCGGATGAGAGCAAGGTGTCGCCCACTAGAATAGAAGAAAAACTAGTTATAGATAACTATTAAGGGTGAAGAATTAAACTATGCACACTATTCAATATTAGATCCTGCTCCTTTAACATAATCGCCCCCTCTTATTCTGGCAATTGATTTCCTTAACCAAGCCTAGAAAAACACTACATTATACCACATCCTAAAAATTTCCTGCCCCACCTCGGACAACGGAATCAGGACCGTCGATGCAGATGTTTATGACCTTGACAAGCTGAAATGTCGCTTCAGACTTGCTCAAATTTCAAGTCTAGCATTTGGGCTTTGAACCTGGTGCTGTAGAATTCATGCGACGGTGGGATATACATTTTCAACCCACTTCACTGAATTAGTACACATTTCCTCCTCCTAGATTTTCGTTCTTGAACAGGATTAGTGCGAAGTCTCGGTTTTCGTGTCAAGGGGCTCTCCTTATAGCCTCTATAATAGATTTGTGACCTTCAATCTCGGCTTTCTCTAAGGGCGACAATCCATAGTTGTCTGGAATCTTATGATTGGCATTCCGACTTAGTAGCCACTTGACAGCATTGAGATGTCCACGAGCCGAGGACTGCCAAAGCGCTGATCTACCTTCGAGGTCTCGAGGATTGATATCTACTGTTCCTGATTCAAAAAGTTTGTCTAAGACAGAAACATGGCCTGATTGTGCAGCTAGCCAAAGCGGGGTTCGACCAGCGAAATCTGGTATATCGAGCTCGGCATTGCTTTTTGCTAATAACAAAACGATAATTGAAAGGTTCCCTTGACTCGCTGCAGTATGTAAAGCATATAAGTACCAGCCACCAGGGACATCGGGTTTCATGCCGCTGTCTAGTGCTGAAGCAACTGCGGAATCGTGACCTTTTTGGACATTAGAATGAAAAGATTTTATCTTAGAAGCACTGTTAAGTAACATCGTGACAATCTCTTCAATGTAGAGAGTTTGCACGCGATGGCCATCGGCGAAGTTTGGATGAAGATAACTCGAGTCTGCTTTATTTTCAAGGAGCAGCTGGACAATTGCTTGATGGC